TATATATATATATACCTGTAGGTACGCAGGTGCAGGTATGTAAGCACGTTCCAAGGAGGCAGGACGATAGAGAGAAAGGGAGGAGGAACACAGAGGTAGGGGGACAGAGACCAAAGGAGTTATGTTGCATTGTATGTAGTTGCTACCATAACACAAACACACACACACACACAGAGACACACACAGACACACACACACACAGACACACACACACACACGCACGTGCTTTTCACTTGTCTCAACCCTAGAGCACGAGTTGGGGAAAGATAACGACATCAGTTTGTCCTGAACTAAAAATGTGCCTTCTCGGGGAGGCACGGAAGCTACATTTCGCTGCTGTGATGGCAACTCACTGCGCAAGCCTTGGGGCGATCCGGAACGGTTTGCGGTTTAGGGTAAGCACCGAACACTAGATGAGCAAAGCATTCAACTTTCGTCGCTTGGGCTTTGGATACGCATTAGTCATTCCCACCTTTCAGCCGGAAACGCGTGAACATCACAACCTCGTACACCAAGTCGCGGCCCCCCCCACCCCTAAACCCTAAACCCTAACCCTAAACCCTAAACCCTAAACCCTAAACCCTAAACCCTAAACCCTAAACCCTAAACCCCAAGCACAGACACGGACACACAGACACACACACACAGAGGGAGACCCAAGAGACTCCATGCCTTCTGAGTCCCTGCAACCCTTCCCTGGAGCTTCGACGTCATCGGCTTAATGCTTGTTCAGGACCCGATCCTAAACTTCCTCAGACAAAAAACATCACAAGCTGTTGTGTTTTCTGCACTCTTTGTCAAAAGACCCCAGAACTGGGATCCTTATGTTTAATTTGGTGTCTTTTCGTCCCCTTTCTTGAATCTGAAACCTGCTATATCCCTCCTGAACCCTACACCCTAAACCCTGCATCATAAGCTTCCCTAATCTCTCCTCGCGAGCTTCGAGCTGCGTCGGGGATGCAATGATGTCATGGGTTCTCTGATGTAGGGTTTAGGGTTTAGGGTTTGGGGTTTAGGGTTTAGGGCTTAGGGTTTAGGGTTTATCCTTCAGAATTAGACTGGGGTTTTAGGGTTCATTATGCTGAATCCTTACGGATCATGTAGCTAACTATGCAAGCTTCTACTCGTGTGTTAACATCAGCACTGGGTGCTCTAAGAATAGTGGTGATCTCAGACAGTAGAGAAGTAAACGTATCAGAGGCAAAATCGTGTATTTCGGTATGAGACAGATAGATAGATCGACAGATAGATAGGCAGGGTAGAGGTCACGCAGCCGCAGATTCGAAACCCTCCCCGGCAGAGACTCCCAACCTAAGCATATTCTTGCTAGTAGAGCAGGTAACCTCCAACCTTTTGGGGGCACGTACGTTAATCCTTAACTAAAGCCCAGGGTAAACCTTAAGTTCCCCTAGGATGCCGGACAAGTAGAAAGAAGATATATGAAGGAAGATTCCTCAGTCACAGGGTTTGGGGGTCTGCGGGGCGTGTAATCTGCATTGCTTTCTGAGCTAATCCAACTGTTCAGTAACTTGTTTTTGGGGGGTCCTTTATTGTGTTTGTGCTAGGGTCCACAAGTTTGCTGTTGGAAAGTGTGGCAACGGGACTGGTTAAGCAAAGAAAGGGGGACTTACTTTGATTTCAGGCTTTGGAGTTTCCCCTAACCCTGAACCCCTAAACTTCTAGACCCCTATACCCCTGAACCTTTAACTTGCTAACCCCTTACCCCTTAATTCAAAGGTTCGCGGTACAGCTGTCCAGGTTTGGCAGGAGACGTGAGCTGGATGAAGGATGCATGCTCCGAGGACGGGTATGCTCAGGTTTCTGCGACTCATCTAGGAAGTTAGACCTTAAATTGTTGGGTTTGATTGTAGGGGCTTAGGGTTTACCCTAAACCCTAAACCCTATAGGATCTAAAAAGTTAACTGTTAAGCAGGCCTGAAACTACCATGATCGTTTAGGATCGGCCCGAGAGAGGCTTAGGGAGCAGGCTTTAGTAGGGTTTACCTGAACCCTGAACCCCCAAAACAAGGTGCCTTAATGCTTAGAATAGGGTCTTGGCGCCCATTATACCTTGTTTTACAATAAGGAACCACCGAAAAAATAGTATTGGTAATTCTTTTGGCCCCTATCTTCAACCCCGCACCGTGCAATGGTGCGAGATCAAAGGAATCACTGCCGAGCCTGCAGTTCGAATTACCAACGCTACAGACAGCGAAGGCGGTGATGTACTTTGCTGGAATCAGTTGAATAATCAGCTGCTTCGCTAAATGGGTCTCCTGCGCTCTTCTCGCATGGGACGTCGGGTGACATCTCGCATGAACCCCTAAACCTCTAAACCATACACACCCCTAAACACCTAAACCCTACACCCTAAACCCTAAACCCTACACACCCCTAACCCTAAACCCTAAACCCCTGAACCCCTAAACCCCAGGCTTTATCGGTGTTTGTTTGCTTCGGGGCTTTTGGTCGCGGACGCAGTGTGCGCTCAGGCGGTCCCGAAGCTGGCAACCTCACAGGTTCAGGGTTTAGGATCCTGGAGGCATGAACCCTACCACAGGGTTTCAGGGTTTAGGGTGTAAGGGTTTAGGGTTTAGGGTTTCAGGGTTTTAGGGTTTAGGGTTTAAGCGTTTAGGGTTCAGGTCTTAGGGTTCAGGGTTTAGGGTTTCAACTACAAGGATCGTGTATGAGCAATCACTAGTTCCTAATGGCCTAAGAGCTCCTTCTTGGACTTGCACTACCAGATACCACCCAAAGATCCTCTTCTAGTTTGTAATTCAGAACCCTAAGCCCTAAACCCTAAACCCTAAACCCTAAACCCTAAGCCCTAAACCCTAAACCCTAAACCCCAAGCCCTAAACCCTAAACCCTAAACCTTCAAAACACCCCTATAAATACTATATTACATCCCTAAACCCTAAACCCTAAACCCTAAACCCTAAACCCTAAACCTTCAAAACACCCCTATAAATCCTATACTACATCCCTAAACCCTAAACCCTAAACCCTAAACCCTAAACCCTAAACCCTAAACCTGAGAAGCTTCGAGCTGAAGTCTCTGCACCGTAAGCCCTTTCTCAGCTCGGGATGATGTGTGTAATGTTTAGGGGTTTAGGATTTAGGG